CGGTAGACGGGGCCATTCATAATCTTCGTCGCATATGCAGAAAATCGATATATTCAAATGCGATTACCACGCAAAACGTATCAATTGAAATGTACTATGAAATCGAATGAGTTATAGTCATCGATTGGATTTCAGGCATTTGAGTGGTATATGGATTGGGAGATGTGTGTGCGACAACGTAATTATGAGTTATTTGTCAGTGCCGCTGCCGATTAAAATAAAATACAATTTGTATGTGAGTAAGAGATTCAGATTACATATCTGTATCGCAATGAACTAATCAATATCAGCGTTGATTGCCAGTTTAAGTGATTAAATTAGTACTCATCTTGTTTTCTAAAGCATTTTTCATCGTCTAATAACTGTAAAACTGTGCACATGCGGATGCTTTTTTTTTGTTCCATCTCCTTGCTATTTGGCAATTTGCAGCATACATCACATATTTTCGGCTTCATCTAATGTTGGATGCTTTATTGCCACTCACAATCGCATCTGCTTAATAAAATCTAAGCATTGAACCATCTTTCGCTCTCTGCTTTTCTCTCTATCTATCTTTTTCGCTTACATTCTTCGTCTTCGTGTATTTGTCTGTGTGTATTTTTCGTTTTTCATGTTTTTTTTTTCATTTCATATTTAAAAAAAGTTCGTATGATGAACTCGTCGAGCGCGATTTCTGTATGTGTTTGATGATGCCTGGTGTATTTTGTTGCTTCTTTTTCATTTCACGATATTTCATTGCACTGCATCAACAAAAATGTTAATTGTGAATCAGCAGTCACTTTATAGTCTCTCGCACATATATGCCATTTTTAATGATGCGCCTGACTGACCTTAGCACATAAAATCTTTTCAGCATTTTTGTTCTTCGTTTTTTTTTTTCGTTTCGTTTCATAAAATTGCTGCGCTATTGCTTCTTGTTTTAACATGATCATTGCGATTTGAACGAATAAAGATACGTTGGTAACAATGAACGGCGCATATGATAAGCTCTGCTGGTATCTATTGAGACGATTTTATCAAAACTGACAATTTTCAGGGCGATTCCCGTACGCTTTTTCGGAAAAATCTTCTTGTTTGATGAAGAAAAGGCGTCTTTGTTCAGAAAGCGCCATCATCATGCGCAGTTTTGTCAAGCGCGGTATACAAAGTTAAGAATCAACATTGGAACTATTGGCATCGCTGTCGATCATTTTATATTGTGAGTTCTTTGAAGTGGGTTTGACTTTATGAGCGATTCAAATATTTGTCGTGTCAATTTTTTTGATTTGATTAAACCGAGTAGGAGTTGAGTAGTTTATTCATTTTTCCCTGGTGATCAAATCTAAATTTAAATGACACACGATCCATAGTCATTCAATGCATTTGTGATTCTTGTACGAAATCAAGGCAAAGTTTAATTTCTAAATGAAATTATAACCAAAGATACTGTCATACTTGTCAAGTGCCAATGCAAATGGCAATGAAATGCCCAACGAAAATTGACTTTTTTTGTTTGGCGCAACTACCGGAATTTCAGTCGATTCTCATCTTATTACGATCTTTTGACCAAAAAGTATTTGGCAACAATCGTTCATGCGACTACGATTTCCGCAGAATCCACATTATATAATCGCGAGACGATAAGATCTATCTTTCTTCTGTTCCGTTCTGTTGTGATTCTTTGAATTTTAATAACAATAAACGTGAACCCGAACACAAACAAGAACAATGTCATCAAGTTTACAGTAGGCATCTTCGGTTCGGTTCTATTTGCATCATTGAATATCGTTTATCTTACTTTGTGAAACTTGTGACATTTTGAAAAACACACTCGACTCATTTGCTTCGGTCCGAAGCACACGGAGGAAATATGGCAACGCTTTTTCCATCTTCTCCTTCTTCTTCTAATTTTTTATCATTCAGCGAAGCCGGTCTACCAACAGTGACACCTTAATAATAATGTGACACCTTTGAAATATGGGGCTTGTTATCGTTTAACATTTCAACACTGTGATGTTATCATTGAATAACAACAATGTGAAAAAATTATATCTTGTCCAGTCAAGAACAAAGAATTCAAGTAAAACATAGAGCAAACAAACGAGTGTTTTAAATTTATTTTTAAATCGAATGATATTCCATTTCAAAATCTATTAGATTCGTGAGATCGCGTTAAACAGTTCATGGCTTTATTTTCTGTCTGATTATCAATTGAATTTTGCATTGAAAGAAATTAATTTCGCCATTCGCTAATTAAATTCCCCTCTCGTTTCATGTGAACTTAGACTATTTTTCTGTTCACTGATATTAAATTACAGATTTACATTGTATATACAAGTGTATTCATCGAAATTACGAACAGGCAATAGCCTGATCTTTTTTTTTTCTCTTCAAAATGAAAAATTCATTGAACAAAAATTAATTAAGTGAATTTTGCTTGAGCACTGATGTACACTGTGTGTATTCTACGTTTGCAAATTATGTAAATAATTATATGAAAATGACGTTGATGAACCCAAAATGAAAACGGATGAAATGGTTGCGGGCAATTAGTTGAATGTGCTAAATTCAATTTTTCATCCAAACTTTATCGAATAGATTCCATCAGAAAGGAAATGAACCGTTAGAAAGCGATTCGAAGATAGAGATGAAGACAGAAGTCATGCAATCGTTTCGAACGTCACATCGTCCAGCTCGATGTGTGTTGCTGTTTCAATGCCAAGCGTTTCGATGCTATTTTTGAAAGCCAAATTAGTTCTAGCTAACGGAATAACGAAAGGCGTTTACAACATGCGCGCGCTTATCGCACTGGCGGTATTCCGTTTCTGTTCTGAATTCTAGTTGTGCTTGGCTCACATTTCATAGATTTTGCTTTGTAATTCTCATGATTACGTTGAAATTCTTTCTCCTCTCTCGTAAGTTCCGTGAAATTTGCAAAGTAGGTTCTGAGAATCATGCGACGGGACACTTTCTAATTCTCGGAATTTGAGGCTAATTCGCTTTTGTTATGTGATAAGCGCCTCGAATGAGCGATGATTTCAACAAATAATTTCCAGCCAAACTTCACATATAACTCACATATTTCAAAGTCATTGTTTTGGAAATGTGTGATGATTGTGCCGATAATTGTTGTGCACTTTTTTTCTTCGGTCGTTCAATGTTCCATGTTGGACGAACTGAAGCATCACAAATATGGAAAATAAAAGTATTGACGTTATTTAGTGAAACGCCGTGTAATGTGACCCATTGACACCATATTGCGAAGCATTACATTGTGTGCTTTCATCGTGCGCACGACCAAAATACAATGTACTGGAGAGTGTGAACGGTGTACGTGATTGATGTCAAATTGATTGAATCGCACTTGGCGCACACATGATATGCAGTTGAAATGCATACGGCATTTGGCATTGGCACTTGATTTGGCTCAATAGTCAACGGTACTCTGCTTCCAAATTGTTGTCATGGTCTCATTGTCAGCTAATCAGACTGCTCCCATGCACACACGCACGCACACACACACACACACACACACACACACCCAAAGCTTTTTCTCAGTTAACGTAACTAAAGACGGTAACGATACCTATGCCCGCGGTTTTTTTTGCCTGTTCATCTCGCCTGCTCTCCTAATTTTCGATTATTTTCATGTTAGTTTGTCATTGAAACAATTAGCAATCTTGTTGATGATTGCCACTGCGCGAAATTGCATAATAGACTTCGTGCGATGTTAATTAGGATGAATCCAAAATAGTACGAGTGATTGAAAGAGAGACAGCAAACAACGCAAATTCTAGAAACGTGCCACACACACACACAGACACAAACTAGATCATTAAATGGCAATTAGAAGGATTTATTTATTGGTGTCCAGAATGTCATCGACTGTTTGCCAAAATCAGAATTGTGCATATATGGATTGTGCAGGTGGTAGATGCGGTTTGGAATGGCAGGAATGTTAAACTTGTGTGACATCTTGATGTAATCTTTTGATACGAAGATATGGTTCAAAGACCAAACGATTCGAACGGAATTAAACTGAAATCGAACCGAGACATTGCAACGCCATTTGAATGGTAATGTCAATCTGGGTCATTGTGTGCGTGTGATTCGTACTGTACTATTGGGTGGATTCAGTTACAAGTCTTAATAAATTTAAACGTTTTGCTACTGCCGGCTTTTTTTTTGCGCCCGTCTTCTGTGCAATCGAAATTCAGATTCGCGTGTCTAACTGTCTACCTATCTGTCTCGGTTTCGTAGATAATGTTGTAATCTTCAGTTTAAATACATCCGAAAAAACCAGACACACAACGACAACAACAAAAAAGGCAAACAAAAAGTCACTATGAAACTTCACGTGAGTTGACATTTCAATTGAAATATTTCGTGCATTAAGTGGACCATTTCAGTTTTTTTCTCCTTCGCTGTTACGTTGTGTTGTCGTGTAATTTTTTTTTTCCTAATTCAACTTGACAAATATAATAAAATGTAGTACTGTTGTGATTCATGATACAAAAATTGCTTGATATTATGCGCTCGATGACAAGATATTGAGTTATTAAATCACTTTTTGTAACTTGTCTTAGCAATTTACTTGAAAATAACATTTTTTGGGTAATTTTTTTCTGGCTCTTTCTTTATTAACTAAGTTTGTATGTTTTGCAGTCGCTTTACGGAATAAAAAAAATGACTATTTAAATTGACTTGATTAACTCAAGTGAATGCAATAGCAACAGCATTACGAACATTTGTAAATGCATTGAATTTAAATAAAATTGGATATACAACTTTGATTATTAGTTTATTTTTGACTTTTTTTTCTTCGTTTAATCATACAAACTGATGATTAATTTGACTAATTACTTAAAGCGAGTTCAAATGAGTGGTTTTTTTCAGCAAACGATAATGATGACTCAATGCTAAATATGCAAGCAAATGCTTTTTCTTCCTCTACACTCTTCATTCTTTGGAATATTGAATTGAATATTTAAAAAAAGGGAAATTAGATTTTCAACACTTACATAGGACATCACAGCCGTATTCACATCAAATTTTCCTTTGATCTTTTTCACCATGTTACTATATTTAAGACGCTTGCTTCCATAGTATTGCTGCCAAATGCTGGGCTTATTTCGATGCCACTCCAACATAATGTCTTTTTCATCGTTTGTCACATCTTTTGCATTGTCAACGACGACCAGCGATGGCTGTTGCATTGCCAAATTATTTTCAATATGGCCATTACTTGATGGGACAGAAACCGAAACCGAAGTCGATTCGATAGATGTACTCAATTCGATCGATGTACTCGATTCAGATGCATCATTCGATACAGGTGTCGATAAACGGGTCGCATCTCGATTCGATGTATTCAACAACGTTTCTACTTCAATTGGAATAATAACTTCGTTTCCGATGCTATTGTCACTGGAGAAGGATTTTGTCAAATAATTGAAAGAATAATATATATTTACAATAATTAAAGAATATTCAAAATATTTAAGAAAAATTTGCGCTTTACAAATACATAACAAAACCTCTTAAATTTTAAATGAAAATACCAAATCTCATGTGAAAATTACCTATGTGCACTACCACTACTGCCTCGTCCACTGCTACTTGTCGTCATAATCTGTTGGCTGTCTTCCCAGCTAGAACAAATCGAATCCGAATGACGTCGCTGCAGTTGAAAATTACTATCGCTGCTACTACATCGAATCGAATCATTTTCGTACGTATTTAGCAGTATTTTTGATTGATTCTTCCATGTTCGCATCTGATTTTTGGTACCCTCTGAAAATCGATACAATGGAGATTATATTTTTTGTGATGTTTCGGTCAAGAATAATCAAATTGCTTTATGGAAAGGTAAACAAATAAAAAACAGTGGGAAACAATGGGATACAGTGCTTTCTAACTTCAACATATGCTTCAAAGCTTCAGCTAAAAGCGTTCTAATTGGCCAAATAATGTGTAACTTACGATTGCGTTTCATCTGGTTTTTCAATCGTCGTCGTCGTCGATCTTGCGATTGATGATGATGACTACTACTACTGCTGTTACTGTTACTGTTAATGTTACTGTTACTGTACACCTCTGATCCGATGTCTGATGTCGACAGTTTGGGTCGTCTTGTGCGGTTATCCAGTGCATGTTGCATCGTCAGCAGTTTATAGTTTTTTGACAGTCCCGAGCAAAATGCTCTGATTTCAAGTTCATTTTGTTGGTTCATCATAACGAGGTAATTGTCAACATCCAGTTTCAATGCGGTGATATTACGCATCAGTGAAACCGTTTTTGAATTACTCTTCGATGAACTAATGCCGTCCGATTCGGCTGAGCTCTCGTGCTCAGAATCGCTGCTTGGTTTCATTAGCACGGCCAATTTCTCGCGAATCTCTTCTAAAATGTCTTTGGTGTTTTGATGGTTCAATTGATCTTCGATGTTTCTCATATAGAATGGCATCAGTTTATTGTTTAGAAATGAATGGAAGTGATGCTGCTCATATTTGTAGTCGGTAATTTCATCAACATTGTAAGCATCGTCCGGGCATGAATTGATATATTTCGTGCACTTGTAGTTATTTTCATCACTGTTTCGGGCGGTTGTTTTGCAATTGTCACCTCCATTATCGGTATGGCTGTGCCCATCCTCGTCACCGTCACCACCATTATCATCATTGTCGCTGTTGCGATCGTCGTCGTCGTCATCGTCAACTTCTTGTCCACTGTCAGCTTGGTCGTGTTCATGTTCATTGTCTGATTGGAATGTCGGATTTTCAATACCCTCGCCACGAGTCTGACTGAAACTAGATTTATTCTTTTTGTCTCGCGTTTCATCGATCAACAGAAATGTATCCAAGTCCAAATCCATGAATGAATCGTCGTTTGTATTTGCATTCCAATCGCTTCTTCTCTTAGTCTCGATATCAGTTCGTCCATACGACACCAATCCCAATGCGTTGTTATCCATTCCTTCAACAATAGTGGGCAATCGTTTGGTTGGTTCATCCACACTGCCATTGGTTTTCGGCGTCGATTCCTGAATCGGCTCTTGTGTTTTCTGCGGCTGTTCACCAGTAGGAACTGCTTTATTATTTGTTTTATTCAAACATTTTAAATGCTTTTCCAATGTTTTGATACTCTTTTCCAAGTTCGCCAAACCAATTTGCTGGTCAAGTTTTTGGTCGAACTTGCGGCGTCGATTACTATCGGTGATGTCATTGATGACGGGCTCGCTGTAAATGTGATCTTCAACGGAACTCGTTGAGTACACATTTGAACTGTAATAACCAGACGATCCACTTTTCTCGGTCGAATAGTGTGACGCTGGCACTTGCTCTTGTTCGCCGAACGAATGACGACGACGACTACGATCCACAATTGATGGATTACTTCGTTTGCTACTGCTAACATTTTTCCGGGGGTTTCCATTACTGGCTGTCGGTGAGGCAAAACTGAAACGGGGAAAAAATACGTTAAACAAAAATTGTCCATTACATCTTAGTTAATATTTGGTTATTCTGCTTTTGATGGGTTTTCCTATGCTATTCGTCATTGACGATCTTTCTGCACAATTGCCACACTGACCGCAAGCCCGTTCAAATGATTTATATGACACATTTGCATTATGGCTTATCTTGGTTAGGATAACTTACGTAAGTGACCATAGTTATTGATTTCAAAACAAACCAGAGCTGCCATAAAAGCCCCGGCTATCCTAATGTTATACATAAAGCAAAATGTGCCCCAATCACTCTTACATTTTAGTCCCCCCCAGTGTTTTATATACATTCGCTACAACTTCTTTTTGTAGTCATTCGGTTTTCAAGTAATACGTATACACATGAGTACATTGACGAGAAGAGAACTGAACCGAAACAAACCAAACCAAGCCAAACCAAATCGAACCGAAAATCCCAACGGACTGTTTGTCGTGTGAGTTCGTCGCTTACATGTCTTTTGATTAATTTTTTGTTGTTGTTGCTTTGTTTACCATCGCACACAAGTGTGCGACATGTTTTGTGTTTGCATTGCACATTTTAATTGAAAGTTTAGTAATATCATAGTGTTGATTCAAGGTTAGCAATGATTAAAAAAACCAAACGGAGTGTGTTCCGTTTTCTGCAGATATAGTTGGAGTACTATCGTATCCAGTCCAACAGAAAAATGAACTAAAATGATGTATTGTCAGTTTATTAGGGTGACAAATGACACATTTTCATTCGTAAATTCTGATTTCAAAGAATAGGAGTTTTGCAATGCATTTCGTTTTTTTTTTGCTGTTGTTGCACAAATCCAGTTCAGTCTTGTCGCGCTCAGCTGTCACCCTAATCATTGATAAAAATAAATGGATTCGGTCGAATGTCGAACGGACGATACGAAACCAAAGAAAAGTATTTCTGTACCGAACTGGTATTAACGGTGTTGCATATAATGAAAGTGAAATTGAGCACGTGATTTACAATAGCCTAATATGATGCAGAGCAGCAAGTGTAAAAGTGAACTACGGCCACTTTGCGTCTGTTCTTTATATTTTCGGCGACATGTTTTACTCGTTGAGCGGTACTTCGTACACAATCATGAACAAGAATTGTAACCCTTGATTTTGCTCTCGTTACCTCATTTCTTCGATCAGGTCGAGAGTTGCATATACGTTGCCGTTGTTTTTACAAAAAAAAACTGCATTCAAATGGTTTCATATTTTAAGCAGAACAGTCTGCAAAATGAAACCGAGAATAAATTGTTTCCTTCAGTTGGCATATCAACTGACGATGAACGATTGTCTATTCTATTGATGTTTGCCAAACAAAAGATGAAGCAGAGCTAGATAGCTGAAATTGAAAAAAGCAAACATACACACACAGCCAACGTTAAAATGAATTAATGAGGCGAAATAAAAGCGGCAGAAACATGTTCAAATCAACCGACAAAAAACTTTATGCAAAACATTTTGATTTGATGCTTTGAAAAAGCGTCTTCATATGCAAAGCAATCGATTGAAACGATTCGAAGCCGAGAGTGGAAAAAAAACGACATCGCCACAGCGCAATCCAATGTCAGTTCAGCCTAGAAGTTGTAACAAAATACTCGCAACACAGCAGCTTGAAGAACAACGACCATCAAATCAGAAGCGAAACCGAATGAATCAAACGCGTAAACGAGCAGCCAGGCCAAATGTTTACGATGTTTCTCGACACGTTTGTCATAATAATGATAATTGTTCTCCGGCCGAAATTGCATAACAATTAACGAAAAATTCATCACGACAGCCGCATCATTTGAATTCCATTTGAAGAAATGTTGCTAATTAACCCTTGAAGTGACTACTAGACGCATTCATCAAACATTATTATTAAATTGAAATTGACAACAACTCCACAACTCGTTTATTGGTTAGAACGATATTCCGCAATAAATCGCGCTCAATCGGCATCATTTGATATTTAAAGTAAAACCAATAACAATACGCTCGTCACATGAAGCTGACGCAGCCCGGACACAAAACGCCATCAAAATGTTCAATACACACCGAAATTATTGCACTACAACACTATTTATCAAGTGGACAAAGCGCACATCATCACGTAGTCCATCGATTACACCACGACATGGGCGCGTACCAAATCTTTTGTGCATTACGAGAGCGAGCACGACGTGTACCGCTCTGTCTCAGACGAGACCAGATGTGCTAATATGAAAGAGTTTCTTTGACAGAGGAACGAATGTGATCATCGTTTATTGTTGTTGTTGTTGGCGGCGGCGGCGGCTACGGCGGTGTGGATCATTTTCACCATTGACACGTTAGCCAAATGGTAAATGGAATTCGAAAAAGGTCAAAGCCGTGTGTCGTTTTGAACACCAGAGGCGGGTAAAATTACGCGATGCTTTCTCACACACACACTTATACATACAAATACATATGTTGTGGGCTGGAAAATGTACTTGCGTATGAAATATTTTTCGTAATCTGAACGAAAAAAAAAAAATTACACATTTTTCTTTCATTTCGCCAACAAAAGCTTTCCACTTGAGTTGTCGAGCAATTTGCGATGGTTTTCGCTCAACGTGAGTTAATCAATAACATGCGAATGATGCAAATTGGTCTGAGAATTGTGTTGCTTCAGCCAAAATTTACCGATTAATTTTGATAATGAATTTATGCGGCGCGAATACTCACAAACATCGCATCGATTTTCGTATGAAGCTCATCTGGTCCAAAAAATTATTTGTATGTATACAAAGGTCATCTGGATGGCGATTTGCAAGGTCGTTTTGAATGGTTGTTGTTGTTGTTGTGTGTTTCTTTTTTTTCTGTCGGAGTTTTGTTTTCGTTCTCGTTTTTATATTGTGAGTATGGTGTTACTGTGATCGCTCGATATAGCTGCTGCTGTTGTTGCTGCCGCTGCCGCTGCTGTCATCGCTGCTACATTTATTATTGGCAGAGCGCGCGTTTCACACACTCAAAGAAAGAAGTAACAGAGAAAGAAACAATCATGCAACCGAGCAAAACCGTCAAAGATACATTTTTCTATTTCATTTTTTTTCGGATTCGTATTGGACCTGATTCGTTCAGCGAATTGAACCGAAAACGATTTTATAAATCAAAAATATTGCCGATTAATATATGCATGGTTCTCCTGCTCACTTCTTTCCTTGACGAGAGCATTAGTTTGCATTTTACTCTGAATTTTTAATGAGACGATTTCAAGTCGTTGCCTCATTCAAATGTATAATTTTGTCAATTCTCTATGTAAAGGCAAAAATAACGGTAGTCTTTTGAATATTTGATTTTTCAGAGTTCAAATACATTTACCATGATGAAAAAAAAATTGAATACTTTGTTACAGATTTTTGAACAGATGATTCAAAAACGAGGAAGGAAGTTTTTTTTCCCGAAAAATTGTTTTCTTGCTACATGGTATTCATCAATCTTACAAATGAATTAATTAATGGGATTACAGTTTCGGTGCTTAATTGATTAGTTCAATAGCCAAGTTCTTGGTCAATTTTTCAACAACACACCTATATTTTAAGCAAAAACAATACCTATCCCCCCACTATGGCCAATATTTTATTTTGGAAAAAAAGGCACGAGCAATGTAAATGTGCACTATTTGTTTTGAAGGAGATACGGTCAAATGTGTTTGTTTCACTCAGTGCACCAGCGATATTTCGCATGCGCAATAATTTCTTTTGAGCGTCTCGCTAGGATTGACGTGACATGACAATATTGTGTTTTTTTTTGTGTAAAATGGATGCTCAAATTTAGACGGATGTTGTTTTTTCGAAAGAAAAAGAGATTATTTTTCAAAAAGGAACCGTAATTTTTCTCGTTAAAATGATCGAAGCAGACACGAATAACTATAGTTTATCCGAGATTGTTGTTGACTCTTACGGCGTGAACGATTGATGAAAAATCAACGAGGAAATAAATTGAATGCACCATGAGATCATTTGATACTATTATGCGACTATACACGAATTTATCAGCTCAATTTGTACTTGGCACCCAACACACGGTCGGTCAAATAATTAAACAATGTGCTCTTCCCGCGGCGAAGAGCCATCTTACAAATTGTGGCTATTCCTCTTTTGCAAGGCAGATATCATCATTTCCAAGTACCGAACCCGATACTTCATTACTAACGAGGTAATAAAATAAATGTGCTTGTATTCAGGCGCCAAACTTCACTCAACTGACCTTTCGTATATTGTTTTTTATTTATTTCTTTGCTCGAAGGAATTCCGCCAATGACTCGAACTGCGATCGGTTTTCATAAAATGTTTTGGCATTTGTCAACCAAACCGATAGAAAATTGCATTTATTCCGGTCATTTTCAGCAACATTTGCAGCGGTACATTACAGAAATTGCACAGTGAGAGCATTATTCATCGAATTTCGGCCAAATGTTAAACACAATAACGCCCATAGTTCAGACAAGCTCGCCTTTATTTCTCTCTCTCTCTCTCTCTCTCTCTCTCTCTTGCTTGCAATGCCCGTAAAAAATGTGTAATTTTTCAATGAGATTTTGTAACACGCTTCTCCATAAACCGGTTCATCTTCATTCATCGATGCACGGTGTGTTTTTGAATGCATGTATAGCGTTGCAATTGCATTTGATTGAAATATGCCATTTTCCATATTTTAATCACACCATCAGACTTTTTTCTGTCTAACTCGTTCCGAATGCGAAATGCTACATCGCTTATTGGGCTAGTTTGCCAAAAATGAATTCAACCGAAACGTTGACAATTCAAAATAATAAATTTAATTATGTTTCTTCTTCTTCATTTTTTATCAATCTATAGATGGAATAGAGTTCGTAATAGGTCAATGGGTTTGTACAAACATACGTAACATATTCACTTGTTGATTTGTATTCGACCCTAGCATAGTTTCTCAATCGATTTTTCTACGATCGCAATGAGATATTGATGCAAAACCGCTTCTGAAGCAATCTCTTGTGAGAAATAGGAATGAATGTGCGCGCGAGTTGGCGCACACACGAATCGATTTTTTTTTATTTTACCGATACCTGCGTATCGATTATTTGCAGAAGAAATAAAAAAAAACAGATTGGAATGCGACACAAATGACCGAAATATGGAATGCGCCGAGCATTGCGTATGCATTTTGATTAAACAAGCAACATATTACGACATGTGTTTGGGCGACGAACTTTTTTATTCTCGATGAATTGAACCAAGCGTATAAATCCCGTTTTGAAAAGAAAAAAAACAAACAAATTACAATTTACTCATGTTTTAGGAAGACTATGAACAGAAAAGCATTTTTTGATTGATTCAAAAAGATTTATGTTCAACGACGATTCGTTGTTTTCCTTTCGACAAAAGAGACTCGGGTTCAATCGATTAATTACCCGGGTTCAATCGACGATTCGAGACATTTGAGTGTACCGATTCGCCAATGAATATATGAACTGCTGAGAATAAAAGGCTGACGATTGCAGGTTTTTCGCAAAAGCGGGATAAAAATCAGTTGCACGCAAAAGAGACATTTCAAAAGGTTGCACGCAAGAGAGAAGTATATTGTTGTTGTAATCACGGCTTGAAAATTCGAAATGCGACAAAATAAAATGTTCCGTTTGCGTGCAACCTTTGGAAATGTCTCTTTTGCGTGCGACTGATTTTCATCCCGCTTTTGCGAAAAACCTGCAGCCGTCAGCCTTTTATTCTCAGCAGTTCATATGATGTTAAACGGTCCCTTTAGTCTCAAACCGCCGACACATTCAATACACCCTAGAATATACGTAATGAATGAAAATGGTGACTTACCTTTGTCTTAAAATAACCCGCGGTAATGAAAATGTTTCACCGGTTTGTAGACCATCAATGGTGGTCTTCAGGTTTTTCGTTCGATTATTGGTGGATTGGGTGTTGGATGATGGCATCGTTGATGTGGCAATGGTCATGTTTCGGCCATCGAGTGCATAGCTATCGTCAGCACGACACATGGCATTGGCACTTACGCTAATCTTATTGCTCACACTAATTCTATCACTAGAATGGTGAAGATTTGTCGATTTCTTCGTGTGCAATGTGGTTGTCACAAAAGGCGTTTGCTTGTCACTGGGCAATGACGATGTGTCATCTCTGCTGCACTCACTCCTATTCAATGACACCGGCAACGAAGCAATAGTATTACAGTTCTCGAATACGGCACAATTATCAGTGCTATTTTGATTACAGCTAAACTTATGATCACCCAAACGTGGCTTATTCGTTAAATTACATTTACGACTGCTACTTGTACGATTATTATTGATCTTTAAATTAGTAAGCGTTTTGTGTGATGATTGGGAAAAGTATGTGGTTAATTTTTTAAAAACAGCCGATATGTGAGCGTTGCTATCGTGGTTATTGGGATTTGTGGTTGATCCAATGATAGCATCTGGATATGTATCATCAGTCGTCACATCGTCAAATGGTATGGATTCGAGTGCATCGAAATCGATTTTCAATGGATTTTTATTCGTGCCACTTGATCGATCCGATGAATTCGCACTTTTCGGTGCATTCAATCGTTGATGATTGTTTTTATTCGCTGGGAATGCCGTCGATATCCTATTTTTTGTGACGGAATTACTACTGTCAAAAGCATTTGGATTCGTAATGACCGTAGGTGAGCTTCCTGAGTGGGTGCGATGATTCATTTGGTTCGTCTTGGATACGTGGTTTAAATGTGGTGTGTTTGTGTGTTTTTAATCGGTTGTTTGCCAATTATGCGAAACTCTCTTCGTTAAATACCTCAAAATAATATCCAAGTTGATGACGTTGACTTTTTGCAATCGAGCAAAAAAAAACAAAAACAAAACCACAAAACAATGTTGCCCTACTATGTTCTGCGCACTTTGAATCACTTTCAAAATATGATTTAGATCTTTTGTCTGCGGTGTTTTAGTTTCGAGGCATATATTCTGCTCATGTTAAACCTGGAATATGGGAGAGAGAAAAAAGTAAGACCACCATTAGAAATATTTATTCATGCTTTTTGTAAACTTTCGAATTGTGTATTTTTAAGTCGAGTTTCAAGTATTTGTGCGGTTGATTGTTGCATTGTATGCAGATAAAGTATCTTTTGGAAAAGCTAACAAATTTGTTCAGCATTAACATTTTCGATGTAATATTTTAATGCTTGGCTTGGTTATGTATGTGTGTATATGCTGCTCTTTGTTGAACGATCAAAAATTGAATTCCATGTGCATTAATTGCATCGCACAAATGAAATTACGAATGCGATTACTCGGTATTTATTATTCGGCTGCTTAAATCGAACCACATATTCAAATGAGTGTTGCTTTTTTTTCACGACATTTTTGGAAAGTAACTTTGAGATTTCTTCTAAATGTTTATAAATCTGGTAGTGTCTAGCAATGATTCCGGTGGTTTTTGTATGAACTACAGCCATTCCCCACGAATACGTTAAAATTCTTTTCAAATCAATTTCTCAATTTTCATTACAATCTTTCTGCACAATGTAATTGGTTCGTCCGCCATGTAGAAATGTACAAACACATGTTGGAACAATCCGAAACGAACTGACGTATTGTTAAATAAATGAATATTTCATTTTTGACCCAATTGATGCGTACTTAAGCAGCGCGCATCAAAACATTCCATGCTTTCATTTTCGTGTTGATTGCGTTGAACCTTTTCGACACACTCAAGCAATTTTTGATTCGTGCTCTTTTCTATTTCGTATTTAATTTATGCACGGTTCATTTTGCACATTGCTTGCATTGTTGTTGTTGTTGTTGCTGCTGCTGCTGCTGCTACTATTGTGTTTCGCAGCACGTGCTCATTCGCTCTTGTAATTCATCGCATCGCAAAATATTCGCGATTCAGATGAATGAGATGACGGATATGTATGATATTTGCATAAAATTGTAATTGATAAGGCGCGTGAACAAGCATCACCGAATGTATCATTTCAACGCCCCAAAATAATAAAAAAATTAAACTATTGAACTTTCTTCGTATGCTGGATGCACGCGCTCGTGCGCGTGGGCGCGCTAATTGACCAAGTGATATTGAAATGACCAAAAATGATTCATATGGATTGCATAAAATTGTAAAACCATAAATGAAATTTTGTGAGTGATATTGAGCGCGTGCCATCACGTATTTGATGATAGCACGGATAAAAGTGAAGAGAGTGCAGTGAACAATATGTGTGAAATGATCTTTTTGTTTTACTGTCGCACGTATTTTCACATTATAAAGCAATATTTTATTGTATTATGATTAAGACTGTCAGACATGGTGCAAATGAAAAGGAAAGTTTATAACCGAAAATTAATAAGTGACTTCCGAACGGGCTAATAAAATTTTGGGTAATTCATAACATCAATAAAGAAGCGGCTCTCTCCGCAGAAACAATATGATTCAAAATCTAAATTTCATCGAGCTAATCAATTGGCTGGAGAAAAAAAAAATACTTTTCTTCATTTTCTATATTTTAGTCGAATCAAGGGTCAGAGAGACAGTTGGAGCATAAAAATGATAAGTGCAAGTTGTCATGATTTCTGATGACAACCAAAATTTTGTGGAAAACATATCCTTTTTCGTGTGTATCATATTTTTTACTTGAATAACAAATAAGATTGGTCGTTTTATAAACAAAAAAACGACACAAGAAGTCATTCAAACAACACAGCCTGTAGTCAATGTGAAATATTTGAAGATAAAAAAAACATTCGGCTTAATGAACCAAAAAGCAAAAAACTGAAAATCAATCATAAAATTAGTCGTCAGCCATCCATCGAACACACCGTGTGGAATGAAAATCATAGCATATCTTTATTTATATATTTTTTAATCTTGCGTTTTACATATTCGAATTTTTATGTTTACTGCAATAATCATTTACCGAACAAGATCTCAATAGCAGATCGCCTGTTTCTGGTATTCCCTCTCTCTCTCTCTCTCAGTGTGTCGTTTTTTTAATTATCTATTTGACATAATCATGAAACATGACCTTTTTCTACTATTCGTTGTCGCCCTATAATACAAATCGTTTTACACATTTTGACATTAATTTGCACGTGTTTTTTTTTTGTTTTAATTCGTCTTTTGTTCTTTGTGTTCATTTTGTTTTAAATGGTGAAGAATGTATTGGTCACCGTATTTTATGAATCGTTCTATTGATGAAAATTTATTGAAGCAAATGATAATTTTTCCTAAATCTCGCCGAAAAACATCTAGAAGCAGATTAAATAATGACCTATCTACTGAATTTCGTTTGCATTGGATGGCTAGAGATCAAAATTCAAAACCATAAAGTTCAAGGAACCGTGTGTTGATGGCTACTGTGTGTGTGTGTGTGTGTGTGTGTGAATTCTGATATCGATGCTTGAGACTTCGAACGGATTTTATGGGATAAACATACTATTATATATTGTTGCTCGCCTTTTTTCCCGTATGACAATCTACGATTCGTTCAATGTCAGCATAACAAAAGTGCATAGTCGTCATTAAATTGGCTCCAAAATTGCAGCTGTCACATACTACATTATCATTTATTCCCGCATTTTGTGGCTGACATCACGCATTTTAATTGATGTTTCATGGTTTATATCACTCAAATGGTCATAAATATTCCAGCCAGCCATTTACTCACCATTAAATAATTCGGTTTTGGGCAACTCCGGTTCGTCGCTCATCAATAGTGAACTTGCATTCGATTCAAAATTTGTACGTAACGAAATATACACACACGGTGCAATTGGATCGGAGAGTTTCGACTTCTTTGGCGACAACATTTAAAACAGACTTTGTATCGTATTCGTACATGATCGCAACAGCGACAATAAATCATGTGCTATGTTGGAATTATGTGAACTTTTTTATTGTGTATACGCCGCGCGCGCGTAAACGTTTCCAAAAGCGATCGCACGGTGATGATAACAAAAATTGTGGTAATTTGCCTCTTGCTCTGTGCAATTGTGCGGTGTGTGATTAGAATTCATGTTAACTATTGAGAGAAACATGACAAGTATTTAATGAGTACTCGTCGACATTCTACTTTCGGTTGAGAAAAACAATCCGAGGTTCTTTCCGATCTGATTCATTTTCGCTTCACTTTCAATTGCAATGGAAGTAATCTTTTTTTTTCAATGGAAATGAAACATCGATTGCTGCACTTTTTGGTGCATTGTCCAAGGAAATGTCTGAACATCGACATGACAATGTGAAATCGACAAAAAAACACAAAACAAATCACTGCATCGAATGGTCATAAATTTTGGCATGATGTAAATACCGTTTCGTTAAGCGTATGCGTGCTCACTAAATAAATCAGTTATATTGGTTGATTTCATCGCCACATACACATAGTATGCATGCGTGTATTGTATGAAATGTAATACGCTATTGCAAGTAATTTGCATGCTTCGGCCTACAAAATAAATTCCGGACAAGCGACGACGACGACGACGACGACGAAAAAAAAACGTAATAAATAAAGCATAAAATGAAATGTAGTGACATGACAAGCGCAATGACAGCAATAGCACAATTATGGGGAGCGATTTAAATCGGCCAAAAGAATAACCGATCAAAACAAAGGGATCAAATTGAGGCGCGAGTGCGGTGAGTAGAGGAAGGGAACCTAATGAGGAAGGAGAATTGATAATGGACAATTGCTAGCACTTTCACTGATTGCAACTGAATTGCGATGCAAAACGCCATACCATATACCAGTGAGACAAACATTTTGCAAGTCACACATTGAATAATATGTCAAACATACATGTTGTGAGTCGGTGCGCTGCAAGACCATGCGACCATGTGACCATGCTCGTGCTCTGCCAATTGAGCCAGTGTGAATTTTCGGTGTTCTACGGCCCGAAAAAAAAACATTTCACAATACATCGTGTTTGGTGTGTTTCGCTGACACGATGGCTAACCTCTCTCTCTCTCTCTGCTCTGTGCTGTTGCTGTCATACCGCTTAAAATCTCAAAGCTCTGCTACATTAAAGCAATTTCCTTGAATCACTTTATCGATTTGACCATTTATTACATTGTAAGATCTGATTTTCAATTAGCTCTACCGTTGCGGCCCGAATCAAATTGCGCGCGACCCGCAACACCGTCTCGTAGCTCATTTTTTAGCACTACATGAAATGTAGAGCTACTAATCTGCTTTTTTTTCTTAATACTTTTTGTGTGATGAAACAAATTATGGTGAATTTGAATTTTATGCTCATATTTTTAATTTAATTTAAACCAAAGGCAGTATATTTCAAAAAAGAAATTAAACCAAGATCTTGTGATTCATTTTGAAAATAAATATATTAATTCAAAGTTACTTTGATGAAATACATTTCATGTAGTGCGCCAAAAAATAGTTTGTTGTGAAACAACAAAATAGATTAAATAACTAAAAACTCAAGAACGCAGAGCGGAGCGAAGCGAAGCTCTGCGGTCTTGTTTTCTCTTCTTATAAATACATCGAAGCAATATGTCATACACAATGCAAAATCAAAAATGTATTTAACATCGAATATATCGCTCAATTATACAATTAACAAATTGATTGAAAGCTATTCGTTTAAGTTTTGCCTTAAGAGCCGCTATTTTTGCCACGATTTTGCATAACATTGCATTGTAGCTGTGCGTTCAAAATGTGTTGACTTCAACCAAATGTTCGATTTGCGATTCTCTCTTTTCGCTGGGGGCTTAGGTTCAATTGATAATGTCCCACAATATTTCGTTGGGCGAGCAGAACATAAAAATCAATGAAGTGCTTTTGCGGTTTTCCAAATCAAAATAATAATACAAATTTAATTTGAACGGCACACAATGGGCTTGTGTGCGCTCGTGTCACCATAAATCACCGATCATAATGAAATGTTTTCTTAGAAAACAGATCGATGCTAACCGATAGAAAATCTTAATGGAGCGAAAGAAAAGGACGCAATTAATTTCATTA